AATTAATATGCGAGAAAGTGCCAATGGAACTGTCAAAAGTAAACAAACCGGTAGACACAAAAAGTCGCTTTTTACTATGGAGGGATGACTGTGCTGGCTGATTGTATCCCTAGTCAAAGTATACTATATAGTTTTTATAGGTCACTTTAGACAAACACTACATTTAGAGAATGAAGCGCGCTGCAGCTGGAAAACAATGTATTAATTCGCAAAAAGCAAAGGCGCATCGCATGTCACTTTAGGAGGCGTGAATTCATTTCTGCGACATGATCATATTTCGGAATTATTACCAACGATCCATCAGGTAATATATTTCCCTCTCGCTCTCTGTTTAAAAACAATGGTAAAGCACTACCAACAAATATTTTCCTCCACAACCCATAAGATGGGACAGCGCATCGGACTACAGCAGCTGGATTAGTCCAAAAAGGCACAGTACTTTTTGTGGTTGGGTCTGTTTTAGTTCGGATCATGTTATCACCACAAACAAACCACTCCAGGGTTCGTTTGAAAGCATACCGAGACCACCTCTTCAAGGTTTTGGTGGGATTGCTGCAGTCACACTTGCCCAAACGAACCGCACTAAAAGGGAAAACGAACTCTAGCGTGATTTAACCGATCTAAACACCCTTTGCTTTTTTTTTTTTTTTAAGTCAAGTGAGCCTTTGAGCAGGCCTGGCCAACAAGTTGTTGCGTTTTAAATCTAAGCTACAAGATTTAAGTGGTGTGCTACCCAAAAAGAAACATGAAAGACCTTGAAAACCTCTGTCCTCGCATTAAGGGACTTAGTGACAAACGCATGAGAATCTGGCCAGAAAGCACTATGCATTCCATCCATGCCCGCACAGAGCAGAGGATGTGGATGACTAAGACGCCTCTTGCAACAAAGTGAGGTGGACTGAGGGTCTTCTAGTCAAACTACAGCAGAAGGAAGTATTACTACACTACAAAAAATGCAACACACAGCTTGAGAAGAACAATCAAAGAGGAAACACCTACAGGTGCCCGCAAAAAAAAATAAAAAATACACAAAACAAAGGAATTAAGGCATGCCTGTACAACAGAAGGAAAAATGACGTCAACTTAAAAAAACACTATGGATGTGTTGACATATTTGCCACCACTGTTCCACAGAAAAGGATGGGAATGAATGCCAAAAATCAGTCAGTACCTACACGTTAAAAGATTAAGCCATACCCCAAGGCTATTTGAATAGAAGGTCTAAAGATATGTTGGCATGGGCCTTTTGCTACCACTCTGTAGCTGTAAAGAGGTAAGAAAAGGTATGCAATGCCAAAACAAAAGATAAATATCAAGGCAGCAAATTATATTGGCCAAAATAAGCCACTTAAAGTACCTAAAACATTATTTATTTTTTATTTATTGTGCGCACAAAACAACCTTATAGTGAAACCCTATGAGTTAACACCAAGAGGATATGATGCATATTTAATTTGCTGTTTCCATGCTGGGTGTTGTTTAATGTGCAAAGGAACTTTCATTCATTCATTTTCTTGTCGGCTTAGTCCCTTTATTAATCTTATCCAGCAAGTTTTTATGCAGCGGATGCCCTTCCAGCCGCAACCCATCTCTGGGAAACATCCACACACACATTCACACCCACACTCATACACTACGGACAATTTAGCCTACCCAATTCACCAGTACCGCATGTCTCTGAACTGTGAGGGAAACCGGAGCACCAGTAGTATACCCACGCGAATGCAGGGAGAACATGCAAACTCCACACAGAAACGCCAACTGAGCCAAGGATCGAACCAGCGACCTTCCTGCTGTGAGGCAACAGCACTACCTACTGCGCCACTGCCTCGCCCGCAAAGAAACTTTAACATCCAAAATGCCATTGTGTGCTGCATTGAAAAAAAACGATGTCTGCAAAATTGTTGCAAACAATTTATATGTGTTGAACAAGAAGGTCACTGGTTCGAGCCTTGGCTGGGTCAGTTAGCGTTTCTGTATGGAGTTTGCATGTTCTCCCCACATTTGCGTGGGTTTCCTCCGGGTGCTACGGTTTCCCCCACAGTCCAAAGATGGTGGTTCATTATGCTATGGCGACCCCGAATTAATAAAGTGATTAAGCTGAAAAGAAAATGAATGAATGAATGAATGAATGAATGAATGAATGAATGAATGAATTAAAACAAATAAATTTAATTTAGTAATGTTCAACTTAATTTGTTTGTTTAAATTCAGCCCAAACAAATTGTTTACAACCACTTAACTAATAAAATTTAGTAAACCCAAGGAATCATCTTTGAATAATTTTTTTTTGTGTGGGCTGATGCGTTTACTGCGTTTGTATACAAGTGATGGTAATTTTTTTTTATCAGTTTACAACTTGCAAAGACCTTATAAAAAGTGTGGAAGTCAAAAACAACACCAAAACCTCCTGTGACATAAACTAAGAACACTTTTAAAACGTAATGTGCAATTCTAAGGTCTACCAAATGACTCAAAAAAACATAAATTAGTTTGGGGATGATTGCAAACATCTGATTGGTCAGTGCTGCTGCACTCCAAACAATGCTGAACTAAACCTTGAGAAATGGTAAATGTTCAATGTTTAGCAACATTCTGCTATATTAAATACTACAAGAGCTGAAATATGTCTCGCAAATTTATATACTCACAATTAATCACATCATTTTTAAGAAAATACACCAATGAATTGCAAGGTTTGTTAACGCATTATTAAAATAGTTTTGTTAGTGCTCTGTGAGTTACCAAACTTTAAAAAATATTAATCATTCATTCATTCATTATCTTTTCAGCACCTTTTTTTTATCTTTCCACAGCGGAATGAACCGTCAACTTATTCAGCATTTGTTTTATGCAGCGGATGCGCTTCCAGCAGCAACCCATTACTGGGAAAACAAATATCAATAAATACTGTAATAAAGTAAATTTTTGTTCATGGTATTATTAAATAATGCATTAACTAACTTTATTAATCTAACCTTATCGATTTAATAACTAATTTAATCAAATTAAATATAAAACCAAAGCTGTGTCACTGCCAGGGCATGTAGTGATCATTACATCAGTGTCACGCATCTACCGCAAACCAGAGCAATTCACCTTAGTCGAATATTTTACACAAGTACTGTATAATAAAGATGTGAAGCATCTTGCAAAAAGAATTGAAGATGTTATAGCTGGGCAGGGTTGTCCACCTCCATATTAAACACTACAGATTAAGATTAGGATGTCATTAAACGTGCAGCATGTAAAATGGATCCAAATGGTTAAACCAAGTATTGTAGTCCAAAATCAAAACACTTTTTTACCCTGTCCCACCTCCAGACGCAGGATACCAGATTGAAGTCAGGAGTGACTGTGCCTGACTATTGGGCCTACACTGTAACTACAGACGACTTCATGCGATAAAATGAATCTTTTTCAATGTTAAAAGGAGTTTTCATAATACCCATGACCTGATATTTTTATTCTACAAAGGGTTTCTGGGTCTATTCTTCGTAGCCAAAATAAACACCATAAAACTACCATGACAATGATCACCTCTGGTACTGATAATTTGCTTTATTTAATGTTAATGCTACCAGTGTGAGTTTAAATGCCATTTTATATGACATGTATATCCATAATGAAAAAGCCATATAGTTTACCTTAAATTTTAAAATTAAAAATAAACATATAACTTTAAAATAGCTTTAAAATAAATGTTAGAACTGCATCTCAGTGAAAACCAACAAATATGAGTCAAATATCGGTGCTAAAGTTAAACTGGCAGAGGGCAAGTTATAGAGGCCAAAAGCACATTCTGCAATTTTACAATGCAGAATAAATGACATTTAGTATTGTTTTTCATATAAACAAGTGTGTTACCTCGGCATGTTTCTAAAATATTGGCCAACTTATGCTTAAGAGGAGTCAAAAACTTACATTCAGCTTGTTTAATGATAGACATGGCTTTTGAGCATTCCAGTGTCCGTGTATAAGCAACAAGCAGCATAGCAACTGTCATTGTAACCAATTTACTATGGTTCCTAAAATATGTTAGAGGCTAGTGCATGAATTTTAAACATTGATCAAAAATGACTCACTAGACCTACCTGTGCATTAAACAATTTGAACAAGACTATGAAATAAATAGACAGCATATACTGTATGGCCAAAAATACACTGTATGGGTAAAAATTTCAGACTTTTTTTAAGCCAGACGTCATTAGATTATGTAGAGATCATGTTCCATGAGCATATTTTGTAAATGAACTGTCATAAATACAGCTAAATACTATATTTGACTGTCACTGTCCCACAAGCCAAAACTTTTAGCTAATATTTAATAGAAAATAAACAAAATTGAAGTGAACTTAAAATTATCATGATAATAATTATATATATATAAAAGTTAAAAAGCCTTGTAATAACCCCCAATAATACTTGTGTTTTTTCAATATTTCAATAAGAGCCATATAAAGGGTTAAGCGGATGAAGTACTAAAATCACATATAGAATTACTATTTTTGGTTATTAGATAGATAGATAGATAGATAGATAGATAGATAGATAGATAGATAGATAGATAGATAGATAGATAGATAGATAATAACTTAGCTTGTCCACTAGCATGTATATATCAGGATAGTATATCATTACTTTGCAGCAGTAGCTGTGCAATATTGTGTGCATCAGGCTTTTAATAAAGCCTTTGTATGGCAGCTGTGCTGGTTTTAATGTAAAGCATGTGCTCGAGGGAAAGTGACTGCCTTCCTGTCTATAGCTAAATAGCATCTTGCTAGTTAAGCTAAGATCACAAAACACGATATCAGCAACATATTCTTTTCAATACATCGTTTGTCATCCTGATGTTATAGTCATGGTGAAACATCAGACGCAATGTTGGTCGATAAAAGCAATGACAGAATGAATGGGGGTTGGGCTGCTGACAGCAAAATGATGAGGTGTGACCGCATCACTGACAGATGATAACGTGCGATGAAACTATAGCGACTCACCTGGTTATAATGCACCCTAAACGGTCTCAAATAGTTCGAGCTGGTGCACGGAACCACCTGAATGTTATTGATCTGCTCCATGGCTTTGACAAAGCTGCCCACGGGTACTTCTCACCACAGATGGCAGAGCCGCAGACTACTGGAGAATGAGGGAAACGTCTACGGAAGCCTGGGAAGGACAGAATAAGAGCGCTGTTCGTCTTTGCGTTGTAGTAATGTTCTACAGAGATGACTCTGTGGGCTGCGGCGCAGAAAACCGCCAGTCAGCGTTAGTTGCGGGTGGATGAGGTCATTCGCTTTCTCATTTGATTTAAGGTTAAATGACGGACTCTGTCGCCTCAGCACGTCCTCTTTCAAGCTTTACAGCGCGCGCGCCTGACGCGCGAATGCAGGTGTGCTTGACTCGTGCTGACTGAACCTCAGATTTAGCGCCAACTTCAGGGAGCGCGCGATTTTGTAAATAAACCGCCAAAAGCCCTACATTTAGTAACTTTCTGTAAATCTTTACAGAGACTTTCAGGGCTAGTGAATTATTAATTTTACCCAGCATCTTCTTCTAGGATAAATGTATCATCTTGTGTTATTGTAGATAAAATGACAACTGATCCGAAAAATAATCGATTTAGCTCTTCTAACATTGATAAAATGTGGCCTTAAAGTGAATATACTGTCTGTCTGTGTGTTCATATAAGCACAATAAAGCGGAATTAGTTCACATCCACACGTGGTTTAATTCACACACATCCTATTCCTAGCATGACAAACTTAATCTTTGCTGTTTCAGTACTATATAGAAAAAATGCACCAAAATGCAAAAATCATACTACTTTTATACTTTGCAGTACATTCCATTCAAAACTCAGCCTTTCTGTCTTGCAACTTACATGTTTCATCCTCATTTTCTGTCTTTCACTCCACGATTGCAAAGTAAATCTTTATGCTTATCTGATTCCCTTAAAGCATTTGTGATCTACGAGGAACCATCTAAACATATGGTTTCAATGTAGTTTAGAGAAAACAGAAGAATATATTTGACACTGATGTTTTAAGAATCCCAAAGGTAAGCTGTAAGCATCAGGATGGGTGCAGGTTTCTTATCTGACCTTATGCTTTTGCTAACGTCTCATACAAACCAGCTGAAGAAGCTTATCCCCTCTTCCTTGAGACATCTTTACTTATTCTTTTCCTTCAATAGTTAAGCCTTAGTAAACAGTGACATATGAGGTAGCAACTCTGAAGGACACTTAAAATGGTTCAGCTGTATGTTTAAACTGTTTACAACAGTGTCTTGAGAGCTGGGGATGTTTGTGAGTTACCTTTTCTTTACAAGCACTGAAAGTGCAAAACTGTCACCTCTATATGTAGGGTAACAATTTTTTTCTGCGAATACAGCTTTCACACTCAGAAATGACATCATCTAGTCTGTTGTTATTGACATAATAAGTCTCTTGATGGCTTGACATGATTTTACAGACAGCAGAAATTGATCAATGTGCTAATTACAAAAAGGAAGACAATCAGGCACATTTACAGTCAAAGTCACCCGCTTTAAGGCATAAAACTCCATTGCATTTTCTCAATTATTTTTCACTTTGCATAGTTTATATACAGTATGTTGTTTTATTTTCAACACCAAAGTTCTTTGTTATTGAGAATACTCAGCAATTCACCAACATCATGCTGACAGATTAGGTCATTAAAATTACACTGTGGATAGTTATATAGTTGAAATGAAGATTATGTTTGACACTTTAAACTATATAGATATGAGACTATAATTTTAATTCATTTAAATGTGTGTTTTCTGGTGAAATTCAATGAAAGTTGTCAAGATCTCTTAATAGGTTTGTATTCAGAAATGTCTGCTGTATCTGAATTTTAATTACTGTTTTAATATTGTGATATGCTATGCAAGAGTATAATTTAAAATAACAATAAAAAGGGGTAAATACATGAAAAATATTGCAACTTTTAGCCAAATATGTGTTTCCATCAAAAATATATAATAATGTGGCATACATTTTTGACATCTGGTTTTAAATAGAAATTTTCTTCTTCCCTTATGTTCGTAAATATCCTTTTTGCTAATATCAAACAAATATTGTAAAACAAGACACCAAAAACAATGGCCCAAATGTTTGATTTCTCCTGTGGCCATGAGTTTCTCTGTACAGCAACAGTGATTAATGTGACGGCAATTCTGTCCACAGTATACTCCACACCCTGTTCTTTCAATCATATTTCTCATACCTCTAATCATAGTTCTCAGAAGTCTCCCACACGAACAGTTTCCGCCCCTTGGTTCCTCTTTCCCTCCCTTTCAATCTTCTATGAGTTTGACTGGAAAAGTACAAGTTTTAATTTGATCTAAATTAGATCTTTTGATGAAAGCTGGGTGAAAGTCAACCGATAAGCCAGCACGGAAATCCAGCAAGTTTCATATGGACCCCGGGGTGTGCACCTTTCCATCATCTTTAGACGCAATACTACCCGATACAGTGATTGCAGTTGCCTGCAATAATAAAATAAAAAGGGCAATCGCAACAGCAACATACATCCCAGAGCATGGAGGTGTTGAGAGCAGTTCAAAAAGTGTAACAACCAGGATGCCCTAACTTTGATGCTAAACTCAGAGAGAAACAGTGATGTCACCCAAACTGCAACATGGCACTCCATCTCGGACATTCCGAGGGTCCCAATCTCTTCAAGCCAGCTTCCTCCATGGAGGGCCAGGAGGCCCACCCTCTATACACTTTCAGGATGTAACACTTTTGCTAGCTGATTTACATCTAAATAAACATTGGCAGACAAAACAATGTGCGACTGGAATGGAAACGCAGCCCTTTTTTCTCCACCCGGCAAATTGATATGAACCGATTGAACAAGGCTGCACTTTATGATAAGCAGTGCTGGAGGTTTACAGTCATGGCGTTTAAAGCCTAAGAAGTGGTTCACTGAGAGTTTAAGAGGCCTTTATAAAGAGACTGAATTTAAATATGTATAGAAACACTGATTATATTTATTACAGAAATAAACGTACAATTTCACCTTACAAGCAAAACCAGCATAGGTGCATTTAATTTATGTGTATTTATTTATCACTTTATTAGGTATACTGCTTATTCAATTCCATTTATTTATATTTATGGTGGTTTTTGCTATTTAGATTTTGCCAAAGGAGCTTACCATAAAGTTGATGTGTTTTTAAATTCATTAATTTTCTTTCGGCTTAGTCCCTTTATTCATCAGCAGTGGTGGAAAGAGTACTGAAAAAGCATACTTAAGTAAAAGAACCATTACTTGCCTAAAAATGTAGTGTGAGTAGAGTAAAGGTATCTGTTGTAAATATTGCTTAAAGTAGGAGTAAAAAGTAGCCCTTTTAAAAGTACTCATGAGTAGTGAGTAGTGAGTGTTATGCTGTTAAAAGTTGATGCATTTACATGTAATTTGTGGATGTGTTTAAGCCTAACATTCTCTAATGCATTTAGTTATTGCCCAGCAGGCACACAATGTCATAATCATGTAATATTAGGTTAAATTTAGGTTGTGATGTCAGGTGACCAAATTCAATGTCTAGCCAGGGTCTAAAGACAACACTATTTTGATGTCCAATAATGACATCAAATGATGTTGATATTTGGTTGATTTTAGGTTGTTAGAAAGTGACCAAAATCCAATGTCGAGCCAACATCTTAAACCAACATCCTATTGATGTCAAATACTGACATTTTTTCATCAGTTATGGCTGTCAGGGTTGGTGAGGGGAATTGGGTAAAAAGGAGTGAGGACTCAAGTGCAGGTAAATGGGGAATTTATTAAATATCACTCAATATGCGTCCTCGTGTAACATCATCATCAGGTGCCAAAGTTCAGTTCCAATACTCAAGACCGCAAAAACAGAGAATGCGTGAAACTTCCCGGATGTGATCTTGATAACTCAAACATTCTCTCAAATCCCAAATCGCATACTTAAGCACTATTCATCGCCATTTTGTAGTATAAATAGTGTAAGTAGTGCGTTTACACTGAAAACTCTAAAAATAATAATTGCGATTTAATTACACAGATGATGCACTCATTCGACTGGTAAAATGAAGTGTGTAATGATGGACACTTCATGCACTCAATGACCGCTGCTTTGCTCAAGTAGCGGAAGGGGCGGAGCTATCGGGCGCACATGTTGGATAACTTTATTTATTTTAGATTGTGAAAGCAAAACTCTTCAATGAGAGGGATTATAGCGCCTCCCGAAGGAGAAAGTGGTAATACTCACGGCAGGTATTATTTGGTACTTTGCTCATTTATTTCACTAATTTGGCAACCGTCAAGTGTCATCAGGGAAATGGGTTAAATTTTCGCTTAGCAAAAAACATTAGTGTTCCATTTGGGACGACACCACATACATATATGCTGTTGTGCTGTTGTGTAAGTGCATAAGTACATGTATGCATGAGTGCATAGTGTATAGTGTGCCATTTGGGATGCAGCTTAGGTCTATTACACCCCATTCACATGGGGCGTCTGCATCAACGCTTCCTATTCACTTTGAATGGGTGACGTCAGGCATTGTCGAACTGTATTGTGGATCGGTCAGCTCCGCTTCAGTGGCGTTGCTCGCTGCAGAAGTTGGGACCTTCTCAACTTTTTAAGCTTTAACTTCAGAAGCTTTAGCCAATCAGAACGCTGTATGCAAATACAGTAGCTCAGACAGTAGCCGATTGCTGACTAATATCATTGGCTGACACTGTTATGATGATCGCGTAAGCCCCAACTTTAGACACGCCCTCTGTCAACTGTTGACGCTGATGTAAATTGGGCGTTATCAATTGAGTATTACCAGTATTGTTGTTGATCATCTTGCCTTGGCTACTTAGACCCGAGCACCCGGAGGAAACCCACGTGAACACGAGGAGATCATGCAAACTCCACACAGAAATGCTAACTGACCCAGCCGAGGCTTAGGGCCTACTCACACTATGCCATCCGTACCGTGCCCAGGCCCGTTTCCCGGATCGTTTGAGAAGTGTGAGTGCGCTGAATCGGGCTCAAGCACGGTTCACTTGGCCGGCCCTGGCCAGGTT